TAATGAAATAATATAATATATCGGTTGTATAATCTGTAGAATAGGAGTAAAGGAAGAAAGCGTGCACTGAAAGTTTAAATACATATTGTTAGCAGAAAAAAAAATCCAGGAAACAAACGTGAACCGTAATCAGCGTATAATTCATTTTTAATCGGGTCATTTGTCTGTTTTATGTTATTTGCTTTTCTATCCCAAATATTGCGTTTTTTAATACGGTTCATTAATATATGGTACTCTTTTGTAAACAAGAATCGTAGATGTTTTGCAGTTATTTTGATAGAGTCATCATGCTAATTGGGTTTTTTTCTTCAAATTGTTAGCTTCATATTCAGTAGTGTAAGTTATGGTAATACGTGTATTAACTGTCCTTTGTCATTATTTAAAGAAATAAGTAGTTTCATATATCAGTGACATATTAATGCTAGCCGATTTTTCTCAGTCTATTCACATCTTATCACCTGTATGCTGTATAAATATTTTTTGTTTTCACTCATTCATATCTTATTTTTTAAACATTATTTTTAAAATCCAAAATCAGTCAGAAAGAACAAAGGGACAAGAAAACGAAGCAAAAAGAGAAAGGGATTATTATTATTATTTGTTCGTTCGGTGTTTTAAATGGAGATTTTGAATTGTTGCTGAACTGCTTTTAAACTATAATGATGTAAAACAGGTCATGAGGGGGTTTCTGCACTTAATTATTCATTCTATTATCGGTGTGGTAAAATGCATTATGTCAAGCTGAAGGCTTTGTTCCTCGCCGTTCAAATCTTGCTTCGAAATCCAAGGTGAAACAAATCGCATTGGTTTTTTAAAAATTCGAGCTTAAAAATTCAGGTTGTAAATCCAAACCTCGAACCTGTGTAAGATGCTTCAACAAATGTTCGGTAGTGGTGATGATTTCGCAAGTATGAGAAATTGAATCAGGATTTCTTGCATAAATATATCCCTTGGATAATAGTTTCCTCTCTTGCTAAGTTTTCGGGTGAGTTTCTTATTCTGAAGTATGAAATTTTAAAAAATTTTTAAAAACTGACTTGGAAGAATTTTCCAGTTCAACTTTAGAGTTCGAATCAAAGCGAGATGGTGACTATTATGGAAAACAAACAAAATTGAGTGGAACTTATAAAATTGGTTTTCGAATTCGGAATTAAATCAGCAAATTACAGAAAGCTTCAACAAAATCCCAGGATCTTGTTCAAACTCTTGGATTTTAGGTTAAGCTCTAGTTTTTGTCTAAATTAATTCTTCATTGGTATTTAGTCCAGTCAATCGCTTTTCATGGATTGGTACCATTGCATCATTCATGTACTCGGCAAACATCTTCAACCTCTTGCTACATCCATGTCATCATTCCTTCATAGCAGATCCTTCCATTTGATGGTAACGATCCCTTCTTTTTATACATCATCGTAGAATGCCACATTTTTTCTTTACTTTTGTAATAAGGACAACATAAAATTTGCCTTTTATTTTCATACTGCAGTCATATATCATTTTAACAAAGCAAATAACGCTTCAAGAAATGGCTGATACTTTTTTAAGCTATTTTCTAACATGATATTATTGTGATCCTGTTTGACCCCCCTCTTCCTCTCATTAAAGTTGTTAGAAACAGGACTGACACCGATATTCTCATCAAATTTTATCGAAAGATCTGTTCGTTAACAAACATGAGAGTAGATGGAAGATCACTGATAATATGTAAAACAATACGATCTTTTATTGAATCTGCAGTAATATCTGCAAAGAAATAAACAAGGCATAACAAAAACCAGTCAATATTTGTTTTTATTGCTATATTTTCACTTAAATGAAGTGGTCAACGGCATTTGTAACAAATGAATGGTATACATGTGTAAGATAAATATATGAAAACAAATAATGGATTACCTTTGCTCTACTTCACCATCATATAATTACATCGATTGAATAAGCTGCAGAAAATTCATTTACAAAACGAACAATAAAAATAAGTTCCATAACCTCTATATTCATGCCATAAACCTGACAACTACACAATGAGAAAGCTTCGTACTGAGTTTCAATTATACATCACCAGAATCAACTTGCATTTTTAATTTTTTTGTAAACAATGCAACTTTTTCGCCAACTATTTTAAAATGCTTTGTGCTTAAAGTCCCACATTAAATTAACTTGGTTCCTTAGCTTAATCTAAATCTTAGATTAGTTTAAGTTCTTTTTACAATTTACTGCTTTATGTGCTTCATGCACAATGAGATAATTTACCCGTTGAAATAATGGCTATCAATAACACTGTTCTACATATATTGTGAAATATGTTTGGTGAGTTTGAGCACAGCTACATCGTCAATACCAAAGGCAATAGATGATAAGGGAGTGGATATTTCTCAAGCCTTTATTTCAGAGATCTGTCCTGAATTATTTACACAATATTGACCTCATACTTAGGAAAACGAAGAGAACCATCAAGTTTGTATCTATCAACTGCTATGCTGTTAGAAAGGAATTTGTCTATTAGGAGAATATCGGATAGTCTGCGAAGGTAACAACATCGCATCCAACTCATCTGTTAAATTCTGCAGCATACTGCCAATATCATTCAATACATCGCCATTACTCGCTGATGTTGAGTAACTTCAATTGTATAAATGAAGTACAGAAGTATCAGAATCCAATAATTTTAAACTAACAAGCTCGAACAAAGGTTTATTAACAATAATTTGTCCTTTTCTGTAAAATCCTGTACTTCCCAACAAATTAAAGTTTTATTCAAAGTTCTGCCAAAAACATCAAAAAGAAGTGTGGTCGTAATATTTGTGAATTCTAAACTTTTACTTATTTGTATTCAAGATTGTCATTTGGTAAAAATTTGCGTGGAATATGTTTACCTGTGACGTGGCTGTGAAAAACTCGTACTTGTCGATCCTTCGCTCCATTTGCTCCCCAACGATAAGCTATCACGATTTTTTATTGTACCACAGTTATCATTTGCAAATGAAAGTTGCTCGTTTAATGAGAAGGAATTAATCCCATTATAATGCTGTTCAAAATTACTACCATCTGCTGTGCCTGATTCAGTTGTTGCTGTCATTGTAGATGCATTAAATGCCGATCTCAAAAGCTGAATGGACCCTTCACATGCTAGGGGTGCTGAAATGAATTACCTTAAAAATGATTATAACAAAATTCACTCTAAGTACATATAAAAAGTATAAGAATTTATAATTAAGCAATCACTAGTCGTCCAACGGTTGGTCACTCATAGATTTTTCAAGAAGCATTCAGAGCTTCTCTAGTTTATACTCCGTTTTTTGTTTCTATATGCTATTAATGTAAATTGTATAACCACAACATATTTTATTCAACTACAGTGTACTACTTGTTTTTTATTCACAATAGTGTCACAAATCGAAGTTGATGGATAATGTTCAAGCGTTTCAGATACAAAGAAAACCTGAGAGTGTACTTTACAAGTAATGTCAAGGTAAAAAATTTAAAAAAAAAACAACCAGGAGGAGGTGGATAGTCTTCTGAATCAGAACTGATCGAATTATCAGCGGTGCTTAAAATCTTAGTGGGGAGTACGGACAATTGTTGTCGGACAACAGAATGTTGTTGGAAGCTTTCATCAGAAAGAATTCGAGAAAGAGAACACAGATTCTGTAGCGAACTTGTTTTTTGCTTATTTAAGTCGGATTCCAGCAATTGTTTATCACATTCTTGCAGATGATAAGGAATCGTTTCGTTTGCTACAGTTGACTGATAATATGGATATACCTGAACACAGTAATATTCAAACTAATAAGTATTTTCAGCAGTTCCAATTTTTATCTCAGTAAAATTTATCTGAACTACCTGTTTTTGTGCATGTGACTCAGCAGAAAAGACCTCACGAATATGTGAACGTTGCTTCTCAATATTATAATAATTATCGCATAAGGTACCCAAACTTTTTGGGTGAAACGTGGATATTGGAGCAGGAGGTGGTGGTGTCCGATGTGAACGCAAACCATCGCTGGTTGCCTAAAAAAGTTCTTTTTGGGAAAAGAATTACGCTCCTTCTAATAGAAAACTTGCCTGAGCTATTTTGTTATGATACACTGCAACAGTTACGAGCTGCTGCAGACCATTATTCGACTGAATTCGATCAGATTCATGGTCCTGCAAATATTTAGGTAAACGTATAACTTATATAACTAAAATATAACTTCATTAAAAAAAAAAAAAAAAACTTTTCTCAACAACAATCAATTTGATTGCTTTCTAAAATGGAACCGAAAAATTGATTCTTACTATAAATCGAGGTTTTAAATTCAGGGAATTTATTTCTAACTTAACCGGTGATGTAAACAGAAGATGAAAATGTTCGGAAAAATGGAAATTTTGTCCCTTCGTGCAAGACTCATCATTCATCATTTGTTTTATAATCAAAAACAACTTACACAAATGGAATCGTCTGTCATTCGATATAGCACCCTACTACTAGTAGCGTTACTGCATAAGGAAAGTAATTAACTATGATTATGAAGTGAATTCATCAACCATTCTATTTGATCTACAGCACGAAGCTTTCAATGATATATCGCCCCAAACTAGAAAACTGCCTAATAATTACCACTCCCACGCAATGTTGAAACATTCAATCGGATGAAGCTGTTTTTTCAAGATCCGACAAAGGCGCAGAAACAGAATTACTGATAGAGTCCAAAACCTGCTTCAAAAACAATCGACGTGTCTCGAAATGTATATCCACCAAATATCTAAGCAAATTTAACAATAATGGGCAACCTTTATTTTTTTGATAGCAAGGCCAAGACGTTTTAAATGTCCCAATTTCTTGATGCCGATATCTTCAAAATCTTCCCACATAAAATTCTGAATCTCGTCAATTCTGCAGTACCCCTGATCCTCGAATAAAGGAACATATTCAGGAAGGCCAATTAATGGAAGCCAATCTCTAAATTCAACGTATTATTATATCAACAACAGATATTATTTTTGTTCAAACAACAGCAAGCAAAAGCACTTCAAAAATTACTAACAATAAAAACAACCTTAATTTTCCTGATGATACCAGTGTTGGCCAACTATCGCTTATACGCCACCTATGAATTTCAGAAATGATAAATTTTCGATGAATTGGATGGGTTATTCCCAATGCTGTCAAATCCTCAGGTGTTATCCGAGCGAGAGTCGAAAGATCGTAACCATGAGTCAAGAATGCTGTTAAATATTCCGGATATCCCAAACTATTTAGCCACATTGCCAAAATTTCTGCTTCCTGAAACATGTTAGATGATGCTAGATGAGTATTAATCCCCATTTACTGTTCGGAAAATCCACAAGAAATGAAAAGAAAGAAATATTGGATATTGATTTCAGTTAATTAATAAGTGAAACAAAAAAATAGTAATTACGCTACCAAAAAACAACGGTCAAAATTACGCCATTGAAAAAAACAGAGATGTGTGAAAGTGTCAGTGAATTCATCAAAACTAAACTTTAATTTTACTTTCTTTGTATTTATATCACCAAAAACTTTTGCTGTTATATAAATTTCCATGTAAATGTGTATGTGTGGCATACCGGCATTCCTTTAAGTATCATGTCAGAAAAGGATAATCCAGCAGTATCCTCAAGATTATCTCCACGAACATGCTCAGCTCGTGAATCATCAAACACATTCGCCATATTATTTATTATCAAAGAAGCATCACCACTACTATTGCTCTGCATCGAAAGGCGCGATTGGGAATTGTTCAGTAACACACCCGATGACGATCCACACACTGTAATAAAAACCGAAACTTACAGCTATCAACATCAACAGGTAGATAGATTTAGTATTTGTGAGATTAATACGCTATAAGTAATTGAAACCATCCAAAATCGTTACAGATAAGAAAATCAAAGAGGACAAACCAGTAGATGAAGTTCTTGAAAATGAAGAATTACTACCAATGGCGCTTTGAGTACTAACTGCTGAACAGACATGCGAGGAACCACTCTGAAACACGTTATCTTTTCAACCAATCAAAATTTTTAACTTTACTATCACTTTAATCGACATAATTATGATTAATGTTATTATTTTTATCCTAATTTTACTATTTCAGCTTTCCAATATCATTAAGATTCTGATTTAAATAAATTCTATCAAGCCACTAAAATTTTCCACCTCAACCTGGAAGCAACACTGCGAAAGTTGATAATCCTTGTTTATAAAAAATAAGTCATGCAAAAATGGTGATTATATAAATAATCACCTTCGAACCACCGAGTTTTGTTAATTCATTCCTGTTTCCTATTTTCCTTCACCCTAGCACTCTTTTACCTAATTATTGAATCCCTCTCTCTCTCTCTGTATGTTAAAAAATACCTTACAGACGTTAAGAAGTTAATATTGAGAACGTGAGCAATGAAATCTTAAAATTCAAATACAAAAAACAAACCTATGTTCCCACAATAGCAATAATGGAAAAATTCTTATCATCAGTTGCACATTGCAAAAACGGTAGTAAATGGAAAAATTTAAACACCTTCATACTTTCGAAACCAGAAGAACTGCCATGACTTGAACTAGAACCGGCAGAATTTCGATGACATCCATTATACAATAAATTATCAGAATTCTGCCCATTAATATAAAGGGATCGTTGTTTCAAAGAATCCGATGAGGATGGTGATGTTGTAATCAAATTCCCTTGACATTCTTTTTCCAAGTTCATAGAAGAGTCTGAAAGTTTTTTCATCACATCGTTTTTTTTAACCAATAAGTTTACTGAATGATCTATGTGGCATTAAGATATAAAATGGTTAAAAAAGCACTTCTCAGAACGCTAATGGAAATGATCACAGCAATAAACATAGCAAATCTTATCTCTGTAATTTGTAAAAAGATATGTTTCTATTACTAATCTAAAAATCATACTGTAATTTTAAAATTTATCTCTACTGAGAAGTTGTAAACCATATGATTAAAAAAAACCGATCAAGAACAAAGGCAACATTTATGTAGATTTTTCTCGAATATCAGTCAGTAGTGTTATACAGAAAACAATTAACTGCAAAGTTAACATGGATACAAAAGAAAATATAGCTACTTATCCACAGAATATACACCTGTTCGTGAAAGCGTAGAACAGGTGAAAAATGAAACTGATCTGATTCGTTGAATTGTTTACTCTGCAACAGTTCTCACTTAGTGTAAAGTAAAAGCCGCATTCTGACCTAACATTATGCGCAATCTTTTCCGTATTAATACTACCGTCATTTAGATGATAGGTTAATAATGGATATCTGATATATTATTATTTCATGAAACATATATAATCATGCTATCTCATAAAAGTTCTGTAATCATTCAGACCTAACATCTCAAAAAAAGTTCTTGTCTCAAAGTTTTTATCATTCTATCCTTCAAATCGATTCTTCCAACTATTTTGCATCCTTCTTAGCTTTAAAGTTACATATTTGTCTTTTGATAATACAGTGCAAATGAAAAGCAGAAAATGAATGGAAAAATATTAGTACCGAAAAATCGGTGTCCTTAAATTTGTTATCAAAACTCATCGTTTCCTTCATATATAATCATGTTACGGTCATGTATTTACTACAAAAACAGTAACTACTATTCATCACCATATTATCACTAATTTAGTAAGTATACAAGAATCAGTTACTATAACAATGATGAATTACTGTAAATCTTTTTACTGTTCAGTAAAAAGATTTACAGTAGTTTATCATAAGATTTATTCATTTCTTTTTCACTACAACATTCGCTATTAGTAGTCATGAAACTAAATTCAGTGATCTGATCAGTGTATAGAAGATAGAAAAAATTGATTATTTGTTTAAAAAACTTTCGAAAAAATTTTGGTCAATTACAAACAGCGATTGCGGTACATTATTGACAATTTTAGGAACATTTACCAACATTTAGCCCATAGGTAAAGCGGCCGAAAAATTGACCAAAAATAGAACGACCATATAAAGTCCAAGAATTCCCAGCAAAACGAAGAGGACAGGAATGAAGACATGACAATGACCGGCAAAAATGCTGATGTTCCTGCTCTCAGTGTGAGGGCATCATCCAAAATTGATTGCATTAATAAACAGAAATAGAATTTTGCGGCATAACAGACAAATCAAATTTGGAACGAAACAATGTACTTTTTCTTCCACAGAGGGCAATAACAGACAGCAACATGCTCAGCACCTTTTCAAAAACTAACAATCGGAAGCGAAATCCACAAAAAAATTAAAAATCATCAGTGTTTGAGCTTTCCCTAAAGTTCCGCAGGAGAGAAATGTTTGCATTGTTTGCAAAAACTTTTTAGTTTTCATTATACAAAACAGTCAAACGTTACACAAAGGATGAACAATTTATCAGCAACTATCTTCCACTTAATTATTACTTTTTTATACAGTTTGCAACTTATAGAAACTCTCTTAACATTATTTATTGGCAGAGAGAATACCACCAGGTCAATTACTACTGCTTTTAAATGTATGTTTGAACATGTTAGACAATTTTCCATATAAGAACAATGATCGAGAAGGAAATTCAAAAGAATATCAGTAATTAAAACAAATGAAACTCGTAAAAGCCAAGTGAATATTAGATTAAGCAACTGAATTAACATCAACATCTGGTCAATTAAACATCAGAGATAAAAGAAAATCAATCCGAAGAATTTTCAATTGATGTTAGCAAAGAAAATTCATAAACACACATTTCCGCAATCCGTAAAAAATCTCTCCAAAAATTTATCCATCACCAAATATACTAAAAATGGTTATTGAGGTTTATCTCTCATTTATATAGATTTTCAGTTGATTAAAAATCTTTTAGTTTTTACATAGATTACATTTATTTCACATTCTCATTGAAGCATCCTATCGTTATTTCAGGCACATCTGACGTGTGCAACAAAACCTACCATTCTTGCCCATATCACATTTACATGTATGAACAAATATATCTCGACATAAAGTTCTGATGAGTATTGAATCGAGATATAAAGTTCTGGTGAGTATTGAAAGAAAAAACAGAAAAATTACGATTTTTCTATAGTCGCATCATACAACCAACAAGGATTCCTACTGCTAAATCATTTTGCTCATGTCTGATGAAGAAGCAAAGATGCTATTAAATCATCTATCATTACCGTATAATAAAAAAGACTAAAGAACAACCTGGCTTGTAGAAAAAAACCTCTAAACAAAATGAAAGAAATCCTGTTCTTTTCATTCAACGATTTCCTCATATCAAAATGAAATTCAATCACAACATCAATTCAACCAATTTATCATAAAAAAATGAGAAATCATTGATGAGATGTTAATTCTAAAGCATTACAACTCATTGTTGATGATTTTATTCCTCAGTTCTTCTAATCTGATATGCATACGGAACCTGTTCCTACATCATCAATAAACGGAGAGAATGAAAGATGGATAAGACTATAAAGCTAGTGGGACACACCAGGTACCGTACCGGATATACAATACTAAAGTTTGAATGAATAGGCAGATGAAAAAGCGAAGAGAGCAATAGATACAGTAAATTTCCGGAAATAAGTATGAAATTGACCTAAAAGTGACAAATGAAGGAGATGACTGCTTACTGTAACCGGCAGCCTGCTTTCACTGAATGATATAAACTATCTTCATACATTCATTCGACATCAACCTTCGTTATTTGAGTGCAAGTACAGTCTTAGTTAAGAGATTTTGCAATCGCAGCAGCAAATAAGCATAAAAAGATAACAATTGTCATCCTAGGAAACGTTAGCGCTAAAGAACATCATCTTTCTTCCAGTCACTAACCTAGATTGTGTACAGCCACATTAGTGCTGTGACCTGTCCAGAGTATCATTACGCGATTGTCAGGAAGGAAAACTAACACCAATAAAAAAAGCATTTAGACAAACAAAATGTTTCTCAACAAATATTGTTAAGGGTTTGCAAATATAAAAATCATAAGGTGACATAGGTGTGAAAATGATAAGAACCAAAGAGAAAAAGGACGTATGTTTTTCGTTTTTTTTTTTTTTCCAATGAATCAAAGAAGTACATGACGGTGAGATCACAATTACGGAGAAACACGTCAATAAGGGTGCTCAATTGAAAAATTTCCTATATCTCAATGGCATCCGATTCCCTTTGATAAATCCTATATACTTGTAACTATACTTAATCAAAGCCAAATTTAAACTTAAATTTCAAAAATTTGACATGTTCTCATCTACTAATAACAAAAAATGCATACTGGAAAAAAAATAATCTTTAACAAATAAAGAGAAAAATGCAAAGTTTT